CTCTGAACTGTTTAAAATCCACTTCATTTTGAACTGCCATTACTAATGCAACATGCAATATTACAAAGACTGGGGAAGATCAAGTAATTTAATGTAACACTTTATAAACTAAACCTGTGATGAATCTCAGATGCCTCTTCAACTTCTCTGCAATCAATCTGTCTGGAGTCATGTTAATGTGTCCTAGGACCAGTGATAGACTGCCACGAGACTTGGCAACCACGACAGCTCCAGGAGGTTGATTTAATGTGAATGCAGCATGAAAAATCAGATTATCTTTTGATTCTCTCTTTTATTAAATAAAACTGATCTTTATCGAATAAAGCTGCTTTTATTAATATCTAAAACGTTGGTTGGTGTCATAGAGCCCACCAGTCCATGGAACCAATAAAAGAAAAGACAGAAGTAAAAAATGAGAACATTACAGGGAAATATTAGAAACCAAATCACATTAAGCCAGTATTGCAGCTGAAAAAATAAAACATGGGTCTAGCGTAGGACTTTTTAGTTTAGTCTGAATTTATTATTTTTGCTGAAAGACAAGAAGGTAGAACCACTTCTCCCAGGAGTACACTGTGCCAAGAAGCACAACGAGAGCAAAAAAGTGCAACTCAGTATTCTCTTCCTTGTATAATGTCTCAAAAGACTGCAACTTAGATGCAGCTGGGACAAGGTACAAAATGCCTGGTTTTACAGAAACAATCTGAACCATAAGCTAGGAAGACTTCTTTTACCTTTTGGGTCTTTAAGCTAACTTTTTTGATTTTTGCACATAGACAAAGCCTACATAAAAAAGCTCTTAACTGACCACACCTGTACTTTATGTTCGTCTAAGTAGTGACCATTTCAAATCAGCATGCAGTCCATTTTTTACACATATCAATTGCACAGCTAGAGTAACAGGTGGCTACGATAAGTCTATCTCCACAAGTAATGTCAACAGTGTTACTTTGAGAAGAAGAATGTATCCCTTATCAATACAATAAAAATCTGTCAACATGAATTGAAATTCAATCCTGAACACTGTCCAGTCACCACCAAGCGAGAGGAAAAAAAAAGACTATAAATCAAATAGAACAGTCTTTAATTTCAATCCCAAATAGAGCGCCATTGTCCATTACTAATAAAATACAATCAGTGTTCTAGAATAAAGATCCAAAATAAGCAAACAGTGAAACATAGGCATGTTGCACTCAGCTTTTCATTTTCCATGTTTCTTTTTATATTACGTTCACAGTGCACTTCAATGTCAGTGGAAAATCTGCACATAAAGGTCTTCAGAAAAAAATCAGCCTTTTGGAAGCTGGAACAGGACCAATGAACTCACCTGAACAGCTCTTTGCACACCACCACTCTCACTGAAGCCAGTGGGTGCACAAATGGGATTAAACTGAAGGAATGGGGCTTCCTGTACAATTCACAATATACAACCTACTGAAATCATTAAGAGCAGTATTTAAATAATTATTGTGGATAGAATGACATATTCTGATACAAAGTATCATCATGGAATCAGTAACATTGTACAGTCTGCCTATAATGAGACAAAAAAAATCTCTACTGTACAATCCAGTGGAGATCAAGGGGGTTCAAAGAATACTGTAACATGAATAATTCAAAATGAAACAGTAACACATTCAATCCAAATAACCAGATACTTATCTCCTACAATTTAATCAGAACAAAATGTCTTGTTTTCTGGGAGATATTTTTCCCCACCCACTTTCCTATACTAGGAGATTGGCATCACTGAAAACAGAATACCCACTTCTCTTGCCTGTGGGGAACACTCTTAGGGGCAAACAAGGTAATCCTGTCTAATATAGTTGCCAAGCCTTTACATTTATAAAGATCGAGGGAAAAAGAACATCAAAATAGCAGATATATGGTCTGAGATCTCATTAGAAAGCAACCTGCAGGAATATTTCAGCCTAGGATGACAGAGAACATGGGATGCTCGGCACAATGCAGGCAGAAAAAGTCACTATAATTTTATCTTGTTTTGTTACTGTCAGCTAAGACCTGAAATCTGAAATAAATTAAATCAGTTTTTTTATTTGACACCAAACATTCACAATATGGAAGGTTCCTCAGTCTGAAGTCTCACTACATACATCCTAAAATTGTTCAGCATCTTTCAGGAGATGCTCAGTTCATTATAAGCTTAGGCCAAGCATGGTATCTGATGTTAAAGTAAAGTATTAGTGTTTTTATTCTACCCTCAGTGAAACTAATGAGAGGTTAAACCCTTAAACAAGTGAATAAAACACTCCCATTACTGAGCCTGTTGTATTTGTCTGCGTTTACATAAATGTCAGCTGGGCTGGGTTATTTTTTAATTGAAGATTTCTGAAGAATTTTTTCATAGTTTATATCAAACAGCAAAATCCCCAGCCGACTGAGGATAAGAGTTGGCTCCCCAGGACTGATTCAAGAAAACTTCTAGGTGATGCCAAAGTTGTGAAATGTAACTCCTCCCTAACAACAATTATATCACCTTATATTCCCTGTCTTTCTATCTACATGTATATATATACACACATATAGTATCAGACCATTCAATACATTCAAATAGATGGATTATATCATCAGTCACAAACTGTTCTGATACGAACATGAAACTCATTATAGAAAACAACATTTCACCTCTCAGGCTGCAGCTATTTTCTCCCATTTACAAGATAAAAGCAAAGCAAAACTGCAATAGTATTCTGAAGTCTTGAACATTATTACCTGAAAGATTAGGAAACTCTGCAGTGAGAAGGTAGGTTGCCATGGTTCTGAGTAATCAGCAACAGACCTATACACAATAGACAGTTGATTGCTGCTGCATGTTAAAAGATTTTGTATCTCTTTACGAAAACTTTGTCATCATGACATAAATGGAAGAGTTTTTCTATTAGCAACAGAAAGGCATCAAACAAAGAAACATGCCCAGTCACAGTAATCAAGTGATTTTTTTTTTTTTTTGGTTTTCATCTTCCTGGGGGGGGGGGGGGGGGGGGGGGGGGGGGGGGGGGGGGGGGGGGGGGGGGGGGGGGGGGGGGAAGACAATCAACATTTCACATTGATTAGTTTATATTGTAAATCAGTAGAACACTCTGGTCTTTTCAGAGCATACTGTGGCACAGCAGTACAGACAGAGTCTGTTACTGAGTATGGAAACAGACAATTACATTGAAAATGGCTATCTGTATTGCTGAATAGCAATGCTGTGGGATATTACAAAGTCTGAAGTGCAAAATAAACGGCACAAACAGTATCAATAATTTTAATGGAAAATTCTGTATCTAGTTCCAAGGGATATCAGATTTAATGATGCTTCCTAATACACAGAAAAAACTCACTTGTCAGTTCTTATAATGGTTTATTTTATTTTCTATTTATCTTTCATATAAGAGACCTCCTTTACAAGTCCAGTAATCTGCCTATGTTTATCTTTCAAAGGAAAAGCAAGTAACATTTAAGAATAAATTAATACATGAATGTTATAATTGCTGGGCTGGGAAGAACTCAAATGCCGCTTATACTTCAATCTTGAAATAAACTGTAATCTCAGTCGTGCACTCTGTTAATGCAGTGTTAATGGTGCAAATTGAAAAACACCAAAAAAGATAAGATGAAAAAGTTAATATTCTTACTTCACTGTTAGCTGATCCAAAGTACTGATATTGCTTATAATAAAATACATATTTTACAGCCTAGCTGGTAATCAAAAGCTACTGGTGTGCAATGTGAATGAAGTAATCTTTTTTTAAAAGACTCAGTCTTTCAATCCTTGCTTCTAATGCATTTCCATTGCAACTTCAAAACTGTACTTATGCAGGCACTGCATTTAGGTAATGTTTGAGAAGGTTTACAATTTTGTCCCTTTCTTTCTCAATCTGTCCTAAAGAAAGAAGGATGAAAAGGGAATTTGATAATGGGAACCACCACAAAAATATACAACTGTGTATTCTATCCTCATTTAGCAAGTTTAGTTTTAGATACAAAGTAATTAGTAAAGATAGCTGGCTTAAAAAAAAAAAGTGCCCATACCTTGAAGTGTGAGGAGGTGTTAAAAGTAACCGATGCCTTTCTAAAAAAGTCAACTTACTATAAGCAGAACTCTTTACCAGCATGTTTGCAAAACTATAGATTAAATGCATGTGCTATTATTCGTCACTGAAGACTAGTCACACGTGAGCTTTAAATATAGCTGTTGAAGCACAATGTCTTTTAAATAGAGTATATTTCTCTTAACCCAGATTATTCAGGAATGGTCAGAATCATCTACATTAAGCATTGCCAAAATGCATTCACCTTTTGGCTGAGATCATGAATGACAACTTTAAGTTCAAAGAAGACTGTAAACACATACAAAAATATTTGCATTGTCTATACATTGGCTTTCTGATCCTTACTGTAAACACATTCAAGGGCAACATGAAGACACCACTGAGCAGTTGTCTGAAGTCATCTGTTACAACATGCTGAACTCTATTCAGCATGCAGAAATATCTGACCCAGTGGTTCAGCTCATCAGAGCTTTTAAAGATTTCAGCAAGCACATATTTCTCTGGTCCAGTAAAACAGTCTCAGTCTGAGACACAGGATTTTTCATTTGAAAAATTACATAGGAGATAAAGATAGGGCAGCTACCTCCAACAGCTGCTACCCCTGAAGATTTCAAATTTCCACATAATAAAACCTTTCACAATTCAAAGCTGATTTATTCACCAACATCTACTACACGATCAAAAATATAACGGTCAGGTAACAAACGTCTCTATAAATGACTATTTGTCAAAGTCGACCAAGAAAATAAAATCCAGCTATCCAGGACTTCCCATCAGGAGGTCTTTGCTTTTGACTAATACCTGATTCCCCCCAAAGTCTTTCAGTCACGAATTGTGGGTATCAACATCCAAGGTACCACCACAGGGACAGAGGGTGTGTAGGCAAAATAAACAAGAAATAGGATGCAAAGAAACAGTTATACAGAAGAGATTGAACCTTACCTTTGGAAAAAACTGCTGCCAGGCTCAGGAGGAGAGGTGACAAGAGATGCCCCATATTGCTAATCCCAAAAGTGCACATCCTAGGGTCTGTGGGGAAGTTAGGGCTCAGTTTCACTCACTCTGCAGTCAAAGTAAAAACCGGACAGCTGGAGAGGCTGCATTTTCGGAAAAAGTCATCTGGAGAGCGCAAAAGGCATTTCCTTCGGAGAGAGGACTTATTTCTTTAGCTTTAACCCGCCCTCTTCCTCCCTCCTTTCTTCAAAGCAGACGATGCTATGGAAGAAAAACCACTTTCTCCTCTCAAGCAACAAATACAGAACAATTGTCACTACAATCCCAGTCCCGAGCCTCAGTTGCCCGAGGCAGGCGGGCAGCCCCCGCCCCGGACCCCCGGGCCGGCAGGGCTCCGCGCC